ACACACAGACACAGACACACAGACACAGACACACACAGACACACGTCACACACTTGCTGCAGTGTGTCTGATTCACTGATTGGTGCTCACTCACGTACTCTAGTGCAGAAGTGCTTCCTCAGGCCCAGGTGAGGGTTGTTCCAGACGCGAGCGTACTGTCGCACGAAGAAGCTCCGCTCAGAGAACGCACGCAGCACTTCACCCAACACCTCCACCAGCTTCTGATGAGGGAGACTGTCGTACGCTCCGCTCACATCCACCTGACACACACAACAACACCGCCGGGAATCATGGGAAGCGCAGCTGCTGCCAGATACACTACACAAATGAGTTCAGTGAGAACTATTCTCAACAACGGTATATTCACAATAACTGCTGGTTTACGACTATATTTATTACTAATTGTGTTATGCAAATAAATCTGAAGAGGTTTACATACTAGTGCGATTAATCGCATACAAAATAAAAGTTTTTGTTTGCATAACATACGTGTGTTCTGTGTATATTTATTATGTATATATAAATACACACACATACAATATATACACTGAAAATATTTACATGTCTATATTCATATTATAAATAAATATAATATTTAAACATTACATATTTTTCTGAAATACATGCATGTGTGTGTATTTATAATGTGTGTGCTGTGTATATTTATTATGTAAACAAATGTTTTTATTTTGGATGTGATTAATCGCGATTGATCGTTTGACAGCACTATTACATACACATATTTATAATGCAAGTTATTTATATACACACATGGTCAGAATTATTGGCACCCTTGGTAAATATGATCAAAGAAGGCTGTGAAAATAAATCTGCATTGTTAATCGTTTTGATCTTTTATTTAAATAATTCACAGAAATCTATCCTTCAGCTCAGGGAACTGGAATGGCCAGGGCAGAAGCTTGGTTTTGTGCTCAGTGACCTATTTTTGTGTTGGTTTTGAGGTTTGTTTTTGGATAATTGTCCTGTTGGAAGATCTAAACATGACCCGTTATAAGATTCAGTCAGGTTTTGATTTTTTATCTGTTGGTATTTGATAGAATCAAAGATGCCATGCATCTAAACAAGATGTCCAGGACCTCCGGCAGAAATATATGCCCACAACATTAAAGATCCTGCAGTATATTTCATTGTACACATGTGTTTTCTGTTGATTGGAAAATCTTAATTATTGCCCTGATGGTGGAGATGGGAATTTTCACTGCTCTAGTTATTTTCTTAAAGCCACTTTCTAATTTGTGAAGCTCAATTATCTTTTGCTGCACATCAGAACTATATTCTTTGGTTTTTCTCATTGTGATGGATGATTTAGGGAATCTGGCCTTTGTTTTCCCTCCATGGCTGGATTATTTCATGTTCATAATCACCCTGGTGTGCTCAAAATTGCGAATATGAATGGGAATATACTTCAGAGATATTTTACAGAGAGATTTTTAGGGGTGCCAGTAATTGTGTCCAACATGTATTTGAGAGGAAAAGAAGTATTTCATAATGAGATATATTAGTATATAAATATAATTTTCAATAATGATCAAAAGGATTAATAATGCAGGTTTATTTTCACAGCATTCACGTCATCAGACGCACCTTGACGAAATACAGCGGTCTCGGCGAGCTCTTCTGCTGCGGGCCGAACTCTTTGAGAACGCGGTGAATGTCCTGCCAGCCCCAGACGGTGGAGCCCATGGGCCCCGGGGCCTCTCGCACACACACGCTTAGCACGTTCTGCAGGAGCCGCACGCCGCTCTGGAAAATCTGCATACACACACACACACACACACAGAGACAGACACGCACACACACACACACACAGAGACAGACACGCACACACACACACACA